CGAGCGCCTTATCCACCTGGCCATGCCGGGCCAAATAATGTTGTCGCTGTCTCATCAAACGTTGGAAAGGTTATAGTTTCTTAATCTACTTTACAAGAAAAAAAAAAAAGCCACGTAACGTTTGTTAATTCGTTAACACCTACGTAGGCAACTCTGGACTCAAAATCCTCTTGTACAAGACAAATTTGAATTGTGTTGTTTCGATGAGATATCCACCATCGATTCAACAACAGGAGTAAGCTACCGTGGAGTTTCTATAGTTTTATTTAAGTATACACAGGTGATTATTGTTGTTTAGCCTAATGTGTCTTTGGTTTTCATATATCTTACAGCGCTCGCTTCTACCACTGTTCCCTGTCCTCTTCTTTACAACCCCGTTTGTGGGGCTGATGGAGAAGTCTACAGCAACGATTGTTTTCTACATAATGCGGGGTAAGTTTTACGCATATCTATGTCCATCTTATAAATATATATATATATATATATTAGTTATCTAAACAATATGATCGATAGTTTCCTAACCCCCGCTTACAAACAACAAGATTTTAATCCAACAACTTCGGAGTTTCTTTTCCACCCCCACTTAAAAATTGTTTGTTTGTGTAAGACTAGAGGGAAGCCAACTAGTCATCACCTCCCACCGCCAACTCTTGGGCTACTCTTTGAACAACGAATAGTGGGATTGACCGTCACATTATAACGCCCCCACGGCTGAAAGGACGAGCATGTTTGGTGTGACGGGAATTCGAACCCGCGACCCGCAAGGTTGCGAGTCGAGCACCCTAACCACCTGGCCATGCAGGGGCCCTAACCACCTGGCCATGTCCACTTGAAGAACTGTTGATGAACAACTGTCTTGTCTTAACATTAAGCTCATTTTATTGTATAAACTTAAAGAGTAATTCACTTCAACACTATATATAATTTCCTACCTACATCTAATCCACCGCACAAGCTATGTGTATTAGGTTTAGAACACAATTTTTATCTTCAGAATGTTGATATGTATTATTATCTCTAGCTTCTACTATATATCATGTTAAAAACATACTTTGTTATTATTGCTCCTGTCCTTCAAGTGGCTCAAAGGTACGTCTGAAGGTTTGTTTGCTATACAAAAAGTTATCTTTGTCCTGCCCTCCTCGGGTATCGAAACCCGATTTCTTAGCGTTGTAAGTCCGTAGATATACCGTTGTGCCACTAGGGGGCCACATTGGGCTATCTGCTGTGTTCATCGAGGAGAATCGAATCCCTGATTTTAGCATTGTAAATCCGAAGACTTACCGCTGTCCCACCAGGGGACACGTCTGAAGGCTTATGACTTTAAAAACCGAGTTTATATACCCGTGGTGGGCACAGCAAAGATAGCCTACTGTTTAGCTTTGTGCGTAACAACAAAATAACTGTTGTTCTTCTGGAAACTGAAGAAAAAGCAAAAAAATTGTTCAGCTCTGGGTTGTAAGGTCGTTTAAAGCAACAACAACAACAAAAAACAAAGTGGCCAAACAAACTTGTTAAATTGTGTACAAAATATACGTTATTTCTTATCTTTTAAATAAAGCACTTTTTTTTAGGCGACAGAGGTAATTTTTCTTATAAGTAATTATTTTAATAACAGGTTGTTTTCAAAATGGGGGAACGTAAAGTTAATCTGTTGTGATACTATATTTTTACCATAGACTGCTTTGTTTACCAATTCCACGATTTAACATTAAAATGTATTTATGTAGTCACTAAATAAAAACTAAATCCAAATTTTTCGTAAACTGATAAAAAAAAAGGGCTAAGGAGTTTTAATGGATATAGATCTTTGAACCAATGTTTCTTCCCTATCAGTGATTTCATTAGCCATAAAAGAGACAAACAGGCAAAAAAAACAGCGATTAGAAAAATACCATAACTATGTTTTTTGTTTCGCTGTTACATAAAACTTTTACCAAGTTTGTTTTACCACGTCGAGTTTCTGTTTTAAGGGTGGAACTTGCAGAATCCTGGGAAATTTGCCGTGGTCACGAACTCTGTCCTTCTATCTGTACTGAAGAGTACGACCCTGTCTGCTTTGAAGGCGAAATTTACGAAAATCGATGTAAGATGCAGTCCCTTCATTGTGGGTAGGTTTGAGATCTTTATAAAGGTCACTATTTTTTATACTTTTCGTCTGCAATTATGAACTTAACATGATTAATAGAAGTTTTTAAAACGTTTCGGAAAAGATAATTTTCTGTTGCTTGTATATTCAATAACCGTGAAGGCGTTTTCCACCACGAATGATCTTGTACAAAAATACGGAATTAGAAAAGTGAAGGAAAACAAAAAAAAATACTTTTTTTGTCATATTTTAATGAAACAATGTAAAATATATATATAGAATTCACGCAGTGAAAGATAAAAATAAAACTGCAAAGTAACAAATATAAAAAAAACTTAGTTACATCGTACATTGTATTTTATCAAAATGTAAGGATGGAGAAACTGATTGGAAATATAAGACCAACGAAGCTTTCCCGCGCGACAAAACAGATTAGATAAATAATATACCAGCACGCTCTAAACTTGATATTAAAAAGAGAATAGTTATATATATATATATATATTCAATACTACAGTATTTTAATTGTTATTTTATCTATTTACAGACTACTCATAGTTGAGGATCCACTGGAATATTGCCTGGAAAAATAGGTGGCGACACCATCGTCATCTGTCGAAAAAATTCAAAACCTAGTACACTAGCACCAAAATCACAGTACTTGTAAATAATAAACAAATTAATAGTATATCTATGTTATTTTTACAAGTTACGACGTTCACAATAGGTTTTGAGGAATAATTTTTATTTAAATTGGTACGACGTTTCGATCGCTGATGCTGTCATTCTCAAGCGTACCAATCGAAACGTCGTACCGGTTTAAATATAGCTTATTCCTCAACACTACTGTAACAACTGTAACTTGTGAAAAATAACATTTTTTTTTCCTGAACGTCCAATAAACTAACTTGTTTCCTTTAAGATAATAACTACGAATGTACCACACCTATTTCGCCATAAAATACTTGAATTCCATGCAAAGATGTTCAGTAACAAATATTTTACTTACTCTTAAAATCTGGTAAAGTTTTTTTTAAAAAAAAAAGTTACTATGTACAAGGTTTCAAGATAAAATAAAATTATAAATTGTTTTCGTGTGTTTGGTTCTTTCTTTTACTAAATGTCGTTAATATATATATATAGCTTACTAAATGTTAACGCGCCCCCCAGTGGCACAGCGGTATGTCTGCGGACTTACAACGCTAGAATCCGGGTTTAGATACCCGTGGTGGGCAGAGCACAGATAGCCCTCGTGTAACTTTGTGCTTAATTAAAAAAAAACTAAATGTTAACGCGTGAAACGAATTGATACTCCACAAAACCGCGAGAGTTTTTATTCTAAGATTTAAAGTTATAGAAAGAGTTTATATAACTTTGAGTAACTTAACACAAGGAATTCCGAAAGTATAAAACTTTGAGGTCGTACAGAAGTCCAAAATATCATAGTACAAGTGAATGCAGAGGTGAAACTCCAATATCTGAAAATCCTTCGAAACGATTGTAACTTTTTGTTGTTGTTTTTTTTGCGAACGTAAATCGTTATACTTCAGTAAATCATCTAAAATATATTAACGTTTGTTGTGGCTTAGGTTGTGCCAATGATTGAGACTTAAATCCAAAGAGAAAACAATTGTATTAAATATATAAAAAAAATAAGTATTAATTTTCTTTTAAGGGTTAAAAATTCATAACTAAGTATGTATGGCGTATTGCCAAGTTTCTACTGACTGGAGTAGATCTGGTCTACGGTACTTTTCTTTTCGTTAACCTTTTTCTTAGCTCTCCCGGTGGCACAGCGGTACGTCTGCGGACTTACAACACTAGAATCCGGGTTTCGATACCCGTGGTGGGCGGAGCACAGATAGCCCATTGTGTAGCTTTGGGCTTAACTACAAACAAACCTTTTTTCTTAACCTTCGTCACCGTTGTCACAGATGTTAAAAAGCTTTACATCTAGTAAAATCATTTTGGAGGTCCACCAAATCATACACAATCAATGTCGCCAGGTCCAGTTATGCTATATATGACGACCACGTAATTTGATAATAATCCTGCAGTGTAGCTTCCATTGCAAAGGGCTCCGGCATAAGGATGTCATGTCCAAAGCACAACTATTCTCACTGATAGTTGTTCCCAGCTTTTGTGGCTTAAAGCCCCGTCGTTCACACTCTCTTTTGACTTTGGAGAGGGGGGGGATACCTTAAACTCTATGTTAATCGTGAACTTTGAAAACAAAGCTGAAAAAACATTCTTTGATGATTATACACAAGTCTTTAATCTCCATTCAAAGTGTCACTTCGCTATCGGGTCAAAATTAGGGGGCACGTGCCCCCCCCGGTCCCGTCACCTGTTCCAAAAAAAATTACAGTATTCGATCCAGAAAAGTGCATTGACTGAGATGGTCTAAAGAGGGAGCCAAGTTTGGGAGACTACAGTCATGTTTCACGCAATCCAACGGGGACGCGCCCAAAGGTTGCGAACCATTAATCTTGCATGGCTCAATGATTATTGAGATGGATTGTGGATCTGAAGTTCAGTAATTCGCGTCCTGCTATCGGTCGTGAGTTTGGATTCGTCATAAGGGTTCCGGTTAAATTCAAATAGACATGATAAAAGTTTAAGAGTTAAATACTATAAGGTTTTAGCTGTTTTGACTACCATCATGAAGATTTCTTTCAACGAGATTATTAAGCCTGAAGACTTTAAGCCACCGATTTTATAACATAACATGTCAGACTATTTGATCCTTCAAGGATCTCCTTGTACATACCCTTAATATTTCAGGGAGTCATCGATTCTCCCCCATAAATTTCGAGACCTTTTTTTTTTTTTTTTTACATGTAGAATCAATATGATAACATTTTCATTGAATCGGAACTTAAGTGTCCAAGAAAGATAATTCCCTCTTTCTTTTTAGTGACTTAAGGAAAGTTTAATATTGAGTCGTCGACATTTGATGAAAGTATTAAAACGAAGTAAGTTTTCAATCCCATGATGCCAAGTTTCGAAATGACATCGAGTTTCAGTAGACATCCCAGTTTGTTCGAGACTTTTCTGTCGAAATAACGCCTAGAGTGAACAGTAAAGACTACAATAACTATGTTTTACTTAGCTATTTCCTTTCCTTGTTCGTTGCTGGCTGAGTTAAAAACTACAGTGATTCTTTGACATCACAAAATGTAACATTGTTTTAAAGTGGTTTGTGATAAACCCTGAAAGTCAAGTGTATCAAACAATTCTTTAACAAGACCTAAAATGACCTCTACTCCTTCAGTTAAGGGACTGTGTATTAGATTGTGTATATTAGATTGTGTATTAGATTGTGTATATCAGATTGTATATTAGCTTGTGTGTTAGATTGTGTATATTAGATTGCGTGTTAGATTGGTTTAGAATTTTCATATAAAGCTAAACAAAGGCTACCTGTGCTTAGCCGTCCCCAGTTTTGAGCTGATAGACTAAAGGGAAGGTAGCTAGTCAATAGCACCCACCACCAACTCGTAGGCGACTCTTGTATTTTCCAGTAGTGCTATTTGACAGTTGCACTTCATAGAACATTCTCGTCCCCAAAGTGTGTAGAGCATTTCTTTTACAACGGGATGCTAACCCTAAACACGTGTAACCATGCACTAGGTCTGGATTTGAACAAACGAGTCAATATTTCCCCAAAGCAGGAAAATGAAATACATGAAATAAATTCACTATCTTATTTTTATTTTCAAGCCTTTTACATACAGTTGTTGAGAATAGTCTTTGCCAAATACATTTTATATGAAGATCAATTGGTTTTATGGTTTTTTTAACACGAATTAAAATCAATTTAAAGACGATAACAGGTATAATGTAGAAATTACAAAGTATTTTTGTTAACTGAAACAAGTTAAGTTTTTGAAATGTTTAAAAACAAATATCTCATTACTTTGATTATTGGTTTAGAAATAATGGTGTTTCAGTACTAAGGTGCCTTCGATATTATCGGTAGGCGGCGCTTGTGTCATCATCTACTGCACTCTATTGGCAAGATTCTAGTGGATCCTCACGCATGATTTTTCTAAAATATGAATAGAAGAACAATTAAAACATTGCAATAATAGAAAACAAGATCACTCTAACACACCATATTACTAATTTGTTTTGTCACGCGGCCGTGATTGAAAGCTTCGTTGCTCTTACAGTTCCAACCAATGACATGGATTATAATATTCCCTCTGAAACATAAAGTTAATTTCATAATTTTAAAGTAAGCTGTAGCTGATATAGTCGTTTTTTTTTAATCTTATATTTTGATTTCGTTTCAATGCGCGATATTTTGTATATGTTACGTTTTTCAGGAAAAAATTTGATAACAAATGGTGTTTTACTTCACGTTTTGTAATTCGACAGTTTTTTTTTTTCATTTTTGAACAAGACTATTAATAAAAAAAGAATTTTCTCACGATCATTAAACATTTTACAATCAGTTTCATAATTGTTAAAGTCTAGACCTTGTCCTCTGTAAAGATGCGGTACTTACCCGCAATAATGGGACTGCATCTCACATCGGTTTCCGTATATCTTGCCTTCAACACACACAGGATTGTAGTCAGCGGTACAGACAGAAGGACAGAGTTCGTGTCCTCGGCAAGTTTCCCAGGATTCCGCAAGTCCCACCCTTAAAACAGAAACACGACGTGGTAAAATAAACTTGGTAAAAAGAGTATAAGTTTTATGTAACAGTGAAACAAAAACCTAGTTATGTTTTTTTTTTGCTCGTTGCTTTTTCTTCACAGAAGAGTATTTATTATAATGCATGTTTTTAATTATTACTAAAAACTGTAGTAGTTTCTTGTGGTATTGTATTTTTTTTTAACATTTATCACTCCGACGATGTTTATCATTTACAATTTCAAGCAGCTGAATAAGAAAGAATATATAAAGATTACAAAGTACAGAGTGCTCAACATTCTGAAGGTAAAGTTATGGAGTTATCTAGATAATTTGGGAGTACAAATAAAAGGGTGTTGTTTTCTGCAGATATTGATAACAACTGCAAATCACGTGGATCTTAACTACCAAATAAATAAATACATATGTAAATCTTTTACTTACCCTGAAGCTTCTAGAAAACACTCATTGCCGTAGACTTTTCCATCAGCACCACAGACGGGTCTGTAAACAAGAGGACAGGGAGAAGCAGTAGAGGGCGCTACAAAAAGATAAATATATATGTAGATTAAGATAAAAATAAAGAGAAATTAATCACCAGATATTCAAAAGAAACAAACTAATTCAGCGTTGTCTTGTAGTTCGGGGTTGCCTAAGGAAGACTTTGAGTTTTAAAGAACTTTAAAAATAAATTTGTAAATTTTTATTTTATTTAGATTGAAGATTTATACAACGACATTTTCCAAGATTTATAAGATAGCGACAACATTAAGTGTGTTGTAGGATGTGTTTTGGTGTTATAACACAACACAGTTTTAATAAATCAGATTTGCAGTACGTTAAAAGTTAATGTATTTCTGGAAACGATGGAGTATAAGAGTGGATGGATAAAAGGATTAAAATTGATAATAAAGAAGAAACTGATACAGAAGAAACGTTTAG